TTTTCTAGTACCCCATGCCCACAAATCCAGAAATCCAAATTAATCATTTAACCCTTCACATGATTGCAGGGTACAAAACAGACAAAGTTCAACACTGTGATAAGGGCTGTATCCCAAATCCCATCTCTCTGGAGCAAGGAGATGTAGCTTAGGACAGCTGGAAGTCTTAGGCTAGTATAACCCTACCTCACCTATGAGATTTTTCAAAGACAGCTGGAAGGAGGCAGGTGCTACTTTCTGTAGCTCTGACAATTACAGCACTCCCTAGAAACAGAAGATCTGTGATTCAGCTCCTTTCTTACCTTAAGAAGACTCAAATCCACACTGACCTTTATCTGAGAGAATGGCCTCGTCACCAGGTTATTGGTTGTCTAGGAAGGTATGGAGGGGATAAAGGAACTTTAACACAGAAATCATGCTCAGTCAGGCAAGAAAGTTCTCTTAAGGCCATGGCAGTATTTTTATACTATAGGTGTGTGATATAAAATAACATAAGCCCTCCTTGGAGCAGGAATGGATAGGATAGGCAGGTCTCCTCCATCCTAGCAGACAGCCTGAAGCACTAGACTACCCTGCTTGCACACAAATGTGAAAGTGGTTTCACCACTTCAAACAAGTGGTTGAGATACCACCCAGAATGATGCAGAGATTACAGCAATCTCCTGGGAGGTGGGGAATGTAGGTTAAGTTTCCTCATTCCCATTCTTGCGTCCCTGCCCCAGACAAACTTGGTGAATCTTAATGTCCTGTTTTCTGTGCTAGTGCTGGAGCTACTGAGCTACTGTGTAATTTGGGTGCACCAGCCAGCTCCTCTTTGGGGTTTCCCTAGAATGACATTTAGGTAGATGTTTTCTTCATCCTGAAGGAAGACAGGAAATTTTATTTAAAATAATGCCAGGGGATACTCTTTGCATAGGAAGTTAGACTAGATGCTGTTTCTGTGGTACTACTGAATCTATCATAGAATGCTCTGGGTTGGAATGGATCCTAAAGATCATCTAGTTCCAACCCCCCTGTCATAGGCAGGGAACCTTCCACTAGACCATGTTGCTCAGAGCCCCATCCAGCCTAGTCTTAAACACCTCCAGGGATAGGGAATTCATAACACCTCTGGGTAACCTCTTCCAGTGCCTCAGCATCCTCACAGTAAAGAATTTCTTCTTAATATCTAATCTAAACCCACCCTCCTTCAGCTTAAGGCCATTCTCTCTTGTTTTATCACTGTCCGATTTAGGTGCCTCTGGATAGGGCAGCCAGTCAGGATTTCAGAAGTTTGACTTGGATATCCTAACCCTAAAAACAGTGACATTTCATTGCCTTGGCCCCAGAAATCTGCAGCCTAAAGACTGGCCCTGGTCTTGGGGCAGCCAAGCAAATTCTGATAATGAGTTGTCATCAAGTTATTTGGCCATAAACGCAAACATGCGTGGGTACTGGAAGCGAATCCCTCATCCTCTCCACAGTGTCTGCTCCCACTGTAACCTTTGGTCTCCCCAGTTCTGGCAGCACCCAGCAAACGTCCCTCAACAACCTTCCCCACTTCCTTGAACTTTATTTCACCCAAGGCCTCCTTCATACTGCTGCAGGCTTCCTCCCGTTGTCGCAGTGCCTGGTTTTATTATTCCGAGTTATCCAATAAGCCCTGGCAATGACATCCTTCTGGCCCTCTCTCCTGCACCGCCGCCTCCAGCGAATCAAGCTATGTACACACCACTTGGACAATTTGACTACTGTTGTTCCTGTCCCCTTATCTCTCCCCCCGCCCCCGCCTCGGTGTTTATGCTTAATGGATTGGGAGTTCCTTGCGCCGTGAACTTCCTTTTCGCCTCATGGGAAGCACACGGAGTATAGTGAGTGACCTCTCATGTCATAAATAACTGCAGGACAGCAGACCATGCTCTCCCTAGAGGGAACCACTGCCTCGGTGAGCAAGTGCCCGGCTCCCTGCACAGCACCCGCATCTGCCCGAAGTACATAGCGCACTCAATGCCACTTTCTAATCATTTTCTCCAAACATCCCATTTCCTGTTCCTTAAATAGCACCTCAAAGATTATTTTAAAGGCTTTCAAAACACTCTTGCCGCCGGTTTTGGGTTTGGAGTGGGTTTTGTTGGTTGGAGTTTTTTTTTAGCCTTCTTGCATGACGATATTTTCACGTCGTGGGAGACAGGAACAGCTCGAGGAAGCTGCGAAGTTGCACGGAGTACCCGGGGGAGGAAAGGCGGGGGGGGCAACTCGGTTTCTAGGACAGTCCACCTGGCACCGACGTTTTGCTCTCGCACACGCTTTCAGCGCGGAGCTGCGAGTTTCGGGATGACTCTGGAACTTTGTAGCCCTCTCGGGGGTAGCCCGCCCGGAGCGGGGCGAGGGGCCCGCAGGAGGGCGGCGGCGCTCCGCGGAGTCCCTTTCCCAGCACAGAGGCCGAGATGCAAAGGAGAAATGACAGCATGGAAAACGGAGTATTTTTATCGGGGCCAGTGCCCGGGGTGAGGGGTGGGCGGAAAGTGCCACCCTCTCTGTCTCTCCTCCCTTGCCCTCAGCCGCCCACGCCGGCAGCGGCATCAAAGGGAATCTCCCTTGTCGCGCCGTGTCAGCACCGGGGATGGGCGCACCGGCCCGTCATGGCATTTTCGCTTCTCTCGGCGCTTACTCAACAGGCGGGAGGGGAGGGAGGGCTGGTTTGGAGGGGGGGCGGGGGGAGGACTCCCAACCAGCGCCGCTTCTGCCATGAGGTCACCGCGGCGCTATGCGCTGTGCCCGCCGCCGCCCCTGCTGCGCTCCGTTGCGTCAGGCAGGGGGTATCCCCGCCGCGGCGGACCGAGCGGGGCATCCCCGCCGCGGAAACACCCGCGCTGCTACGCGCGTCCCTGCCCGCCGGGCCGGGGGGTGAGCCTGCCTCCATCCCCTCCCCGCCTCCGCACCAGCAGCCCCCCGCGCAGGGGGCGCTCGGCCGCGGCTCGGCAATGTCAGCAGTGGTTCGCCGGGGGCCGGGCAGGGATGGCGTGCAATGCGATACGGAGGGAAGGCACCGCGCCGCACCGAGGGAATCGCGCCGAGCCGGCCACGCGGAGGGGAACTCCAGCCACAGCCACCAAGAGACTTTGGGTTTTTTTTTTTTTCAGGAGGAAGACGGGTCTGGCACCCCCCGCCAGCGTGCGATTGCAGCTTTACCCCTCCCCCCCGCCCCACCGTGGGGGCTACCGGGAGGATGGGTGTGCGCGCCGGGGTCCCCGTGCGCTGCCCCGCACTCCACCCCCTGCGCAGAGGAAGCCGGGCGGGGGCGTGGCCCCACGACAATGGGACTCGCCGGCGCTATAAATACCCGCCCGCATCTATATTTGGTTTGGCCGGATCACAACCGGGGGGGCCGGGAGAGGGGTGTCCCAAAAATAGCCCCGCGCTCCCGCCCGCCGCCGCTGCCGCCGCTCAATGGGCTCCGGCCCCGCCCCTCCCTCGCGCGCGATCCCGAGCGCCTCGCGCGGGGCCCGGCGGGGCTAAATTTAGCAACGCCGCTTGCGTCAATGACGCGGCCGCCGTGCGTCAGCCCCGCCGCGCCCCGCCCCTCGGAACGGGGCCCGCCGCGTCCTGTGCGTGGATTGGCCGCGGCGGCGGCACGAGGGCGGTGACGTGGGGGCGCGGGCTGGCCCCCGCCGGGGGCCGGCGGCGTCCGGAGGGGAAGCGCGGCCGCGCGGGGAGCCCGGCGGGTTCCCCCGCGGGGGGAGCGGGGTCTGGCAGCGCCGCGGCCCCGGAGGGAGGGAGCGAGGGAGGGAGCGGGGGACGCCCCGGCGCCCGGGGGAAAACGGCGCGCACCGCCTCGGGAAGGGGATCCCGGGCTCGGACGTGGCCGTCGCGCCGCCGGTCCGCGGCTTCCGCCGAGCCCTGCGCCAGCCCCGGCTTTGCCTCCCCGGGAAGGGAGCACGCTCCGCGGCGGTGCCGGCGGCGGGACGGTGGAGCGAGAGGCAAAGCGAAAGTGCCGCCGCTGCCGCCGGTCCCTCCTCCTCGGGGCAGCAGGCTCCTCGTCCGCCTCGGCTCCCGTCCGGCGGGAGGACTCGCTTGGCGGAGCCCCTCTGTGCGAAGCACAAGCCCAGCTCCGGCCCTCACGGCTGCAGTGACAGTCGCGGACGTCCCGGCCGCCGGCGGTGGATGTAAACACGGCACCGGGCACGGCGGCGGGCGCCTGCTGCCAGCGGAGACAGCGGGGGAGTCGTCCGCCGCCAGCCCGGTGCCCCAGGCAGACACACGGACACCGAAAGACACACGGACACAGACAGTCACAAGCAGGCGGCAGCCCGGACGCTTCTCCGGGCCGCTAGCTCTTGTGCCCGCTCTGTGAGCGGCACCTCCCGCAACCTGCTCCTTGCTCCTGCGCACTGCAAAGTTTCGAAAGAAAAGAAAAAGAGTGAAAAAAAGAAAAAAAAATGAAAAAAATGAAAAAAAAAAGTTGGAGAAGAGAAGATAATTCGGGAAAAAAAAAATAAAAAGCAAAAAGAAAAAACTTTTTAAAAATGAAAAATAAAAAAGTGAAAGAAACCTTTATTAATTAATCCTAAAAGTTCCACTGAGTAACCGAGCAAAGCTCTTTTCATTTGAGCCACTTCAGTAAAGATATAATAATTTTGTTATCATCACTATCTCAGTAATAATAATTATTGTTAATATTGTTATTATCAGCTTTGGGAGCCACTCGCCGGGCTGTGGCGGGCGGGCGGCCCCGAGGCGGCCGGCCGGCCGTGCCGTCCCGCTGCCGGCGGCTCGGCACGGCTCTGCCGGAGCTCCGCGCCGCTCCGCGCCTCTCGGCTGTGCACAGCTCAGCTCAGCTCGGCTCGGCTCGGCTCGGCTCGGCTCGGCGCGGTGCGGCGGGAGCGCGGCGCACACACTGGGGCGGGGGGGGGGGGTCAGTAGCGTCAGGCTCCCATGGCGTCACTATTGACGTTTCGCATTCCAGCCGCTCTATGGAGAGGCCGCTAGGGCTCCTCTCACATAAATGACGTTCAGAGAGAGGGAGCGGGAGAGCAGCGCAGAGAGGCGCCTCCGTCCCCTCTCTCCGGCGCAGGCACACGCGCACCCCGGGGCACTCGCACCGGGACGCGGGCACAGGTCCCGGCCCGGCTCCCGCCGCACACACACACAAAGGCACATCGCGGCGGCGGCCGCCGCTCGGCATCCCTTGCCCGCCCGCCTGCTCACTCCCTCCCTTCGCCCGGGGACGGGCTCCTGGCTCCTCAGGCTTTTTCAATCCTTTTCCATGCCTCGGGATAACGCACCCTCTGGACCTGCAGCTACCCGGAGTCTGAGGGATTTTGTGTCTCGGGTCCTGCCGCTGGACAGCGCCTACACACGCCTTTAAGGAAGCGGGCACCTACAAACTAGATGTAAAGACGGAACCTCCACAGCAACCGAGTACGTATGCGAGTGAACGGGAGCGGCTGAGGGAGAGGGACGGCGCGGCGTGTCCCCACTCCGTGAAAGTTGCGCCGCCGGGGTAGAGATGCTGGGGAGATGCCGGCGGCGAGCGATGCGGCTCAGCCGACGCGCTGCCGTGCCGGGTTCTCGCTGAAACTTTTCCCTCACCTTCCCCCCCTCCTCCCCCGTCCTCCCTGTGGATGTTCAATTGCCGCTCGTCTTCCGAGCGTCCCTGCCGCCTCGGCAACTCCTGCCGTGCGCGGGGCACTGCTGCTCCTCGCAAACGGGAGGGCTGTGGTTGAGCGGAGCGGGAGCCGGAGCCGGTGATACTAAGGTATTTCTGCTAGTTGTTGTCATGGAAATGATGCTGCCGGCGGCGGCGGGGAGTTTACAGCGCCGGTGATGAATGGCAGCAATTTGTCTCCCTCCTTTAGCCGCGCTTGGGAAATAGGTGGTTCTGTTTGCACAAGTTCAGCTGTCTAATAGGGACGGCGAGGCAGGTTGAGCTCATCTCACTTTGGGAGAGAGCAGCCCCCCTCGGCAGCCCAAAGAGCTCGCCCGAGAGGTAATTGCTGGAATGTGACATATTGTATTGAAATGAGACGGGATGTTTGCATGGCACGTCTGCCCGGCATCTGCTCCTCGGAAATGTGCACTTTTCCCTTCGGAGGTCAGAAGCGGTAACGAGGGGCCGCGGTGCCCCGGCACGGGCGGTACCGTGCGGGGAGGCTGGGCTGCGCCGCCGCTGCCCCGCTCCCTGCCCCCGCGGCGCCTCTCGCCTTTGCCTCCTCGCCTTAATAGCTGCGAAAGAAGTTTCAGTCTTGGAAAGAGGCGAGAAAGCGCGGGCGTTGGGTTGTGATATTATGTAGAGGGACGGTGATCGGGACAGCATTATCGCGATAGCCTGTCCCGGGCGGAGATGCCGCTCACCTTAGCGCGGCTAGTTAAGAACGCTGTCACTTAACTTGCAATTTTTGGATACGATGGGATCCGTGAGAGGATATTTCCCAGGGAAAGGGCGTAAAACACTGTTTTATGTAGGGGGATTAGTGTGTTGGGATAGGATTTTTTTTTCTCCAGGAAAAAAAAGTTTGGGAATGAATCGCTAACTTTTATCCAAGCCGCTTCACTCGATTACATTCTTCGCCCTATTTTTCTCTCCTCCGTGGAGACCGTTGTATGCTGGAGTCAAGCCCCGGTAAAAAACAATGGACTAAACCAGACCAGACGGTTTCTTCGGAGGTGAATCTCACGCGATCTCGTGGATATTTGCTGGAGTGACCGTGCGGCTCGGGGCGATCCCTCCCACTCCCCCCCCAAAAAAATCGCCAGCTAACCGGCGGTGGAAATCCAGCACGAAACTTTTTAATTGAATGGAGCTTCCCCCTCCGCAGTCCCTCCCGGGTAAATGAAGGTTTCGAAACTCGCCTGAAGAAGTCACAATCACAATGGAGTGTTTCACGGTTTCCTCCTCGTATTACAGGGTGGGGAGGGGTGTCACTCGGGGCTGAATGTAAAGTGCACGGAGGAAGAAAAGAGCTTTGACAAGGGTAGTTATTTCCTCCTAATTTACAGCCCTTACGGCCCTGCGCTCCTGGCTCGGGCGGCGGCAGCCCGGAGGGGTGCTGCGTGGTTAAAAGCGCAGCGAGTGTCTCTAGGTAACCGGCGGCTCGGGGGGGCAGAGAGGAGCCCTAGGGCGCTCCGCGCCGAGCGGGAAACGGCCTCGTAGGAGTTCGTAAGGGAACAAAACCCTCGGGAGAGAAAGGGATGAGCTGACAGGCGCTTAACACCCCAGGTGCTGGCGGGGGTTCAAAGGCGAGGGGCGCGGGGGAAGGCAAAAGAAAGACGAGGAGCGGGAGAAAGAGTCGCCGGGGAGCGGCTTCCGTGGGCAGGGGCAGGCGCGGCCGAGCATCCCCCGCGGAGCCCGGCTGGCAGCGCCCCGAGGGTCGGGGGGAGGCGGCTGGGCTGCGCTCCCTGCCCCGCGGCGGCGATGGTGGGCCCGGAGACACCGCTCAGGGTTGGCGGGGCCGGCAGGACACCCCTCGAGTCTGGCCGGTACCTTGCATAGAAACTCCCAGCCTGCTTTTCCCCTGTCTCTGCATCCCGAAAAGAGAAAGTTCTCACGGGGAAGTGGACGCTCGGGGATGCTGTCCCGCTTGTTGTAGTCACCCCGCCCGGAGTTCTCCTCTTGCCTTCTCCAGGCTCCTCTCCCGGAGAACAAACCGGCGGCTCCGTTGTCCCAACCCGGTGCTCTCTTGCCTTTTGTGCGATGAGGGAGCGGGAGCCGGCAGGAATGCGCACCCCGGCCGGCTCGCGGGGCGAGGCGGGGGCTTGGCGGGGGGACGATGCCCCCGCGTCCCCCCGAGGCGCCGCGCCGGGGGGAGGCGGGGGGCTCGCCTCCGCCCCGCCGGGCACCGCCGCCCCTGACTGTGCCTTGTCTCCCGCCGCCGCCGGCGGACAGAGCCCGGGTCGGAAGAGCGCCCCCCGCCCAGGCCAGGCCCCGGGCCCGCCTCCGCAGAGAGGTCCCAGCCGGCACCCACCCCGCCGCCGCCCGCCGCCGCCTCCGTCCGCACCTCCAGCCCCACCATTCAGCGCGCAAGATACCCACCAGGTAAGCGGCCGCTCCGGGAGAAGGGCGGGAGGAGGAGGGGAGGTCCTGGCGGGGCCCCCACCCTTCCCAAATCCCTTTGGCATCATCGGCCCCCGACGTCCCGGGGAGCTGAAATCCCGAAAGGATCAGAGCAGCGCGTGCCTTTCGCAGCGCTCTCGGCGATGCCGTGCCGGGGCACACGGCTTGCGAGCCCCTCGCCAAAGACTTGCCAGCTCCAAGGGGGGCTGCTTGCGGGTGCTAGTGTCCCTGTGAAGCGCCCCTGGAGCTAAAGTGGGCATCCTTTATCCACGTTCTCGCAAAGAAAGCAGAACACCATGGTAATAGCTCCCAATGTCCCTGCCCCGATGCTTTCAGCCATTCATTTAGGTTTTGATGACAGGTTGCTCGTTAATGCACCTCCTGTGGGGCCTTTTCTTTTCTTGTTTTAATATTGTTGGGTAAAGAAAAAAAATCCCAGGTTATTTACTTTGCGGGGGAATTAATACTGGTGCCCTAAGTGGAAAAGTAGGGGTTAGACTTAGACAAGTGCGCTGGCAAAAGGCGAGGTAGGAGGAGTCCCACAGAGCCAGGAGAGACCAGACCTTTAGGTTAGGGATATTTTTTCAGTCCTCCGGTCAGAGTTATTTTAGACTTCTGTTTTTCTACTCCACTTTGCACAGAATTCAGTGGCATGACACTGTTATGCTCAGAAAAATGCAGGAAAAAAAGGACATAATGATCTGTTCCCTTGAACTCCTGCTCATTTTCTGAGCTAGCAAAAAAGCATTTTTCCTTCAGAGAGCTGTGTATCAACACGTCCAGTTGTGACATTAGCTGTGAACTCACTCTGTTGTGTTCCTCTGTCAGTTCTCAGTGGAGGTGTGTGGAGAGAATTTCTTTCCCTTTTTATTTGATTAAGCACTGATCACTATGTTTTAACAGCCAGTCCTTAAACTAACAAATGATAATGATACGACTTGCCAGGAAATGTGTGTGCGTGGAATGGCATGGACAGAAATTGACAGGAAAAAAAAGGGACCAGCAGAATAATACATAAATAACATTGGGAGGCAAGGCTTAGGGGGGAGGGTTGTCCTGCCTCCTTCTTTAAGCTTTTGGATTTAAGGCAAAGAAGGTCTTAATTTCAGCACTATTTTTTTTTCTCAGATTTTAGTGTTTTCTCAAGAAGAAGAAAGATGTGAATGGTTTGTGACAGTGTGATAATTCGTAGTTTAAATATGATAGTGCTTAGTTTAAATATGTTTATCTGTAAAGCAGGCAGGAAAGAATTAAAAGTTGATTTAACACAAATTATTTGGATTCCTGCATGCCAGGAGTGAATATTTTTAAATTGTAAGTGAAAAGAGTTCTTAAAATAATGAGGAAAACCTCATTATTTCCAAGGCAGTTTTTTTTTTTTTTAACATGAATTATTTCTCAAGTGCTTCTGGAATATAAATTACCATGATTAAGAAGAGATGAACTGCACTTAATTTTGATATACATTTTATCCATATTTACTTTTCTCTTTATGAGAAAATTTATACTAATTGATGCATTTTATTCCTCTGCTGTGGAACCAAAATACACCACACACTTTTAGTTCAAGTTGCAAATATTGGTCTAGAATCTCACAGTGTTTAGTCAGGCAAACCTCAGTGAATTGCAGAATTGGGTCTATTACTTCCTGTGACCAGCAAATTACATGGCAGACTAGTAGAAAATGTAAAAGAAAATAACAATCAGATCTTTTTAGCCAGGCACTGTGTTGCTTTGACCATCCCAGCTATTAGTGAACCACATTAAGTTTCATGACTAATGAATAAAACCAACTGTATTACTGGCCTCAACCTTGCTTTCCCATAAAAAGAGAAATGCCACATATCTTTTATCCTACATTTTTGCAAATTGAAGGGGATGTCGTACCCTCCACTTTTTAAAGGAGAACATTCTACCAAAGATAAGCCTTAAAACTAATAATGAAACAGCAACCCTAAATTATTAGCTGACCAGAAATATTCTTCAAAGGTCCAGAGCTGAGTAAGCAAATTGATGTTTGCAAGTCCTGAGTAGAAAACCTTGTGATTTGAGTAATTCCTCTGACATGCGCTGCAGATGCTGCTTCTTTTAAAATAAATATAATTTTTAATATTATGCATTTGATAACCTCGTTAACCCTTCGTGAAAACTTTACAGCATGATTACATGCATAGAGAGAGGTAGATTTAGAGTCATAACTCTTCTCGTTGTGCTTATCTAATACTCATTGACACCTATGTATATTAAGCAGCAGATGTAGGGCAGCTTGAGATGGATTCTTCTCTCACTGACACTGGTATAATATAAACTGGTGAGTTTCTCCCTTGACTAGATGAGAGCAGACTCCTAGTACTGAATGCTTAGTCGCTCCCTGGTGCATATTTCTTGTTGAAAGCAAAAGGCTCAAGGCTAATTTAAATGTCCGAATGGGAGTTGGGTGCCTATGTGAGCTCTGGGAAAGCTCTAGGAAGGAAGTTTGTGGTGCCTGGGCTGCAGCCTGGTGCCCTGGGCCTGTTGTTGACGCGTCCCTTTGCCCTTGCAGATATGCCCTGTGTGCAAGCGCAGTATAGTCCTTCACCGCCCGGTTCGAATTATGCATCCCAGACCTACGCCTATGGCTCGGAGTACAGCTCAGACATCATGAACCCCGACTATGCCAAGCTGACCATGGACCTGAGCAGTACCGAAATCACTGCCACTGCCACCACCTCCCTTCCCAGCTTCAGCACCTTTATGGAGGGTTACTCTGGCAGCTACGAGCTCAAGCCTTCCTGCCTCTACCAAATGCAAACTGCCTCCTCTGGCCAGAGGCCCCTCATAAAGATGGAAGACACCCGGCTGTCCCCGTACCAGCCCTCACTGCCCCCGTCTACAGATGAGGGGATGCCCAGCACTTCCATGTACTTCAAGCAATCGCCACCCTCCACGCCCACCACGCCCGGCTTCCCTGCCCACCAGGCCCTGTGGGATGAGCCCCCGCTGCAGCCCACGCAGACCTGCCTGCCTCCCGGGCACCTGATGGACGCCGCCCCCATGAAGACCGTGCCTCCGCGCTTCCCTCTCTTCCACTTCAAGCACTCGCCTCCGCACACGCCGTCCGCGGCCGCCCACATGTGCTACGACCCGGCCTCGCTGAGCCTGCCCCTGGGCTCCGACAGGCCCGCCGCCAGCCAGGCTCCCATGGAGGGCCATTCCTACGGGCTTCACCTGGCCAAAAGACCAGCCACCTTAGCCTTCTCACCGCTCGGCCTCAACGCAGCCACCTCCAGCCTGATGGGGGAGAGCAGCGGCAGCGGCAGCAGCGGCCTCCCGTCCCCTCCCAGCCGGAGCTCTTCGTCCGGGGAAGGCACCTGCGCTGTCTGTGGAGATAATGCCGCCTGCCAGCACTACGGGGTGCGGACATGCGAGGGCTGCAAGGGCTTCTTCAAGGTGAGGGATCCATGCTCTGCTCCCCTGCCTGCTTGATCCCACCTCACTTCCCATCCCCTCTGTCCCCACATGCTCCTGGTCCCGACCTGGGGCTTCAGGGACATCGTGTGCTGAAAGTCAGGCCCCCAGAGCAGGGTGGGAGGGACGCCCAAAGTTTTTAAAGGACAAGAAAAGCCCTGTCTAGGATAAAAGGATCAGCCAGTCTCAGCTGAGAAGAGGCCATGGCAGTGATCTGGGGGAACCACCTCTGGTCTGCCAGCACTCCTCAACGAAACGTAGGTCACCCCAGTTTCAGCTATATATGGCATTTATTCTGTAGTGAAACTCATCTGGAGTACATTCAGCCTGGGTTTTACTCAGTCACCAATTCCAATCACACTTTGTTTTTAGGTGAGAAAAGAAACCCTGAAATTGTAAAGTTCACTTAATATTTTAGGTGGTGGCAGCAGTGCCCTTTGCTGTCCAGGGAAAATTGGCGTGAGGAGGAATGCAGGGTGGTCAGCACCAGGAAGAAACTGGTTTCACTCATGGGACAAACCCAAGCACTCCTGGTTGCTTTTGGTTGCTGCCTTGTCATTCCCCTTCAGCTCAGGAGCCCGGGGAGCCCTTCCCAGGGGAAAGCTGCCTGCAGAGCAGTGACTAAGCACTGCACGGGGTCCCGGTGCCTGCTCTGCAATGCTACTCTGCTGCTCTTTGCAGCTGAGTAGCAACACAAATAACTTACACACAGCAGTTTCTCAGCTGGAACTTTGCGCTTGTTTTTTCAAGAGTTGATTATACTCTTTAGATCTTAGGTTTGGGTGCTTTGTAATTTCCTTTCAGCAGAGTTTGAAGGTCCAGATTCCAGTATTAATTTCAGAAATAGCTTGTTTAAGGGAAGAGCTTGTGATTGACTTTTGGTAGGATGGTTCTGCGCAGCAAGTTTAAGATTTGAAACATTTGGGGTTGATTTTGTATATTTCTTCTTGCTAAGATAGCAGTTATGCCCTTATTCTGGTAAAAGATACAATGGGAACAAAACCAGTCCCAAAATATTTGGGGGGAGGGCTTATAACATTTTTTTTATTGTAGGTGGAATTGTCAGTGTTACTTAATAATAATCTTTTGACCACGTGGTAATACACACGTCTCCTATAAAACTAATTTGTTATTTAAATATAACTAGAAAAGGCAACACAAATAACATGGAAATAGCAGCTCTTTTTATCCCAAACCTGTCCCTGTGGAAATCAATAGCATATCCTTGAGTTGCAACAGCACCTAATTCTGCAAAATTAAACTGTTTTCAGCTCCAAATCACAATGAACAATATTTGCTGTATCTCATACATTCAGTACATTGAGGCTGTTATTTGATAACAAACACAAATTATGGAATAAAATTTATCCATTAATTTAATTGCAGTTAAAGATTTAATATTGAATGTTGAGTTGATCAATTTGTTCCTGGTGTCTTTTCTAGTAGTACCTTTTTGAATGTTATTTATTGATGTATCTCTGATTTTAAGCGTGGCAGCATGATATGTTTTTGCATTGATATTTGTTACATTCTTGCAACGCTTACCAGGTTTCTATACATTTTAATTTTGCTTTATTTTTTTTCAACATGACTTTAGAGTTAATTCAATTTACATAACTGTGTCATCATTCTGTCCTTTTTCTTCAGGTCAGGTTAACTTTCCCAGAGTATTTAGCCAAACATATTTTGTAGGGGTTGCTGGTGTTTTTATTTTTCTCCCTGATGATTTTAATGGCTAACCAAACCAGTTATTGTGGTATTTGACTAACAATAGTGATAGCAAGAGAAGTACATTGCAGATCATTTTGATTTTATTTTAATAAGGTCAGCAATAATCAAGGGAATGAACCAAGTAGAAAATTGTTCCCAAAGGGATATTAAAAGCGGAGATAATCTAATCCCCAAAGGTAGATGTGATGACCTGGTAATTTCAGATATGATTTTATCATTCAAAGTTGCCTGTCTCCAGAGACTTGCTTCAGAAAAATCCTAGATGATTTTCATTGTCAGCAGCTAGCACTAATAAAATTGTTTTTCCTGCAGGCTAGTGTGTTAGGAAATTAATTTTATCTAATTATATGAATTGCACTGTCACTTTTCATGTTGTAATTAAAACACATTTTGTCAGGTTCTAAGCTGCTCAAGAAACAATCGGTTTACTATTTTTGTGTTGCATTTTCGCAGAGAACAGTTCAGAAAAATGCAAAATATGTTTGTCTGGCAAATAAAAACTGCCCAGTGGACAAGAGACGTCGTAACAGATGCCAATACTGCCGGTTCCAGAAGTGTCTCAGTGTCGGCATGGTTAAAGAAGGTAAAGACTCTGGCTATTTATGATCCCAGAAAACTAAAATATTATGTTTTATGAATCTGTGTCTTTGTGTGTGTGTGTGTGTGTGTGTGTGTGTGTGAGAAAGCATGGATGTCTCTACAATAAATTTGACAGTGATGAGATTCATAACTTACCCCAAAATATGTGCATTTATTTAATAATGTATTGATTTTATGCTTTTCACCCCTATTATCATATTTAGACCATAGACCCCAGAGTTCAAGAACAGCAAGGTCACAAGAGGATAATTTGACAGTGGCCAAAATGTCTCCTTTATTAACTTTGAACATTGCTCGATAATGCTGTTGGCTTCCCCTTGTTCTCTCACTGGGGGCTGCACTGGATTGTGTGCATTTTGACATAGGATCTCGTTTCATTCCCATAAGCTGATTGTAAATTTGCAATTAATTTAAATGGAAACAGGATCAACACATTAGTCCCAATTCTGCAAATATTTAAGCATGTGAGTAATATTGTGTGAGCAGTCCCATTGCAAATACTGACATCGATAATATAACCTATATAGTGTGACCATATTTTTTCAAATGCTTTAAGAAAGCTGAAATTACTTTGAATGAATGCCTCTGCCATTTAAAAGGCACACTGCTAGTAGAAACATTAAAATCTGTGTTTCACATTCGGCTTGTTTTCAGCAGTGGAGTGTCACAGGCACAAGTGCAGGGGCACACTGACATGCTGCAAACAAAGCATGGACACAAGGAACACAGCTGGGCTCTCACTAAGCAGCTACATTGCTGCTTACGATCGTAGGTCTGACACAGTTCTGGTGCCATTTGTGTTCCTTTGCAATCAAGGGCATCAAGAGCACATGCTGAAACTGGAGAACACTTATTTTTACTGGTCTGGCCACCGTAAGGAAAGCGGGGTGTTCATTCTGATCCATCATTTGCTGGTACCTTCACAACTGATTCCCTTGGGATTTTTTTTTCACCTAGTTGTCCGTACCGACAGCCTGAAAGGGAGAAGAGGTCGGCTGCCTTCCAAACCAAAGAGCCCCTTACAGCAAGAACCCTCTCAGCCCTCCCCGCCCTCTCCTCCCATCAGCATGATGAATGCCCTCGTTCGAGCTTTAACCGACTCCACGCCCAGGGAGCTGGACTATTCAAGAGTATGTCTCACTTTCCTTTCCCCGTTTGCTTCCCGCACAGAAATGATTTGCGAGCTGCATTTCTCCTTACCAGCTGCTTTGCCAAAATGAAATTAAGTGTGAAATTTGGGTGAGGGTAGAAATCGTTCCAGCCAGTCGTTGTCTTTTCGTGATAGGTGGACAATGAGAGGAAAGGAAGTGCAGTAGATATTAGTGTTAGTAACTATTCATTGTGAGGATCTCAATCACAAAATGATCTAATAATCTGCAGTATATTCAGTGGCTGAGTTAAAGCAAAAATGCATGGATAAATAGAGCATTCTTCTTGCAAAAAGGCTGTGCCAAAACACAATCAATTATGATGTCATTGATTAACCAGGAGCAGTACTTGTAAGTGCAATATCTTTACTTCTGTTTTCTGAAGGCTAAAATTTAATAGCACTTCCCTAATATTCAGATAGAAGGGTTGCAGAGTATGACACTGGATAGGACCATTCCTGTGGAAATCAACGGGAATTTTACCATTATTTAAATGGGAATAGAGTATGCTTTGGATACCCCAGCCTAAATATTCCTTAAGTAAAACTCAGGTTTTTAAAACAAGCCTGTTAAAATTAAAACTCTGAAAAATCAGCAAAGCTTTACCAAAGATCATATATTTTTGTAACCTTGTTCTTTAATGTAGCATAGTCACAATTTAAATATTCATGGAATATTCTGAAAGCTGAAAAAAAAATTTCTGTAGTTATTAAAATACAGCATTGAAATGACTTGTTAAATACAATTTTTAGGCATGTTGATATAGGATAAGAAAAAAAACTACAGCTACGGAAAAACAAGATCAAATTCTTCCCCCTTAAAGAAATGTGATTAAATTTGAGATTGTTAAAAATAGCAGCTGTACTCAGACAATAACTCCACTGGCCATTTATCACTTGTTGCTAAGTAATATTTAATCCTAAAGCATATTTACTGCAATTATATAAAAATTACATTATGCTATTTTAGACTATGCTTATATATATAATTTAGCAATTTAAAGCATGCTGTAACGTATTTTCTTCAAACTAATCTGGAAGTATTAAATCATATTATTTTTCAAGTTATTATCAAGAATTTAGCTGTTCAGTGTCTGACAACCTACTATAGGGAGAATGCATTAGCCATATCTACGTGTACCTTAACTTACCCAGAATGTCTCAGGGATCGTTCTACAAATACCAAGGTGTGTGACGAGCTGTGCTCTTTGATAGAAATCTGCTGGGTTTCACAGAATTGCAGGAGTCCAGGGGCCATAGTTTGTATTTATTTATTGATACAAAGTTCTTTTGCATTTACAGAAAACTGAACAAAAATTATGTGCTTGTATGTGACTTTTTGCATTGTCCTGCAGTAATTATTTCTCTGTTAATGAAAACAACCCACAGATTTAATTGTTGAACAATTCTGTTGGACTTTACAGAGAGCATATGATTGACAGTAAATTAATTTAGTCTTGGTAGCTAAAAGATTAAGTATGATTATCTGTTAGGACATATTAATATCTAAGTTTTTCTTTACACTAAAATATATTATAGTCTGTTATGCCTGGCGGTGCTGAAATGACAAAAATATTCTGCAAGAAATAAGTAGATTCTTATTTTTTTCAAAGACCCTTATGCTTACTTTGAAAAGTTAGGGGAGGTCAAAAAACAAATGCTGTGTAAAGAGCAAGATAAACTGAATTTAATGAAACATATCATAAACATACTGCAATGCTAAAATATTCCTATGAAGAATAATAATCCTGTACCTATAAAGACTAACTTATGGGACATTCAGCTAGGCTGTGACCCTGCTGAGCACTACAAATGGGCAGATCTGGAAACCTGGCTTTGGAGTCAGCCCTGACACTTCTGCAGATACGACCTTAATGTTTAGCCTGGTCTTCATGTTTACAAGCTGTAATATCTTGACCATCCTAAAACTACTGATAAAAGTTTCAGAGAAAAGTGTGTATCCCTTCCCTCCAGAAAACCCTGTAGATACACACACTCACAGAGCAACCCAGGAAAAAAAACAAAACCAAAAATAAATTACATAAGCTACAAACTTTACACCAAAACATTGGAAACAGTTCTGTTCAGAACATGGCTGCTTTTCATCTCAGCACTGGTTTTAACTTACCAGTCCACAGCTGTGGTATATTTAGGTACTTGGTTTCAAAAGGCAATTGCCAAGGGCTGTAGTCTGGTCTCACACCTGTTTACTGGTACAATTCCCTGAGTTTATGCTTTTAAGGAAGTGAGATGAGAAACAGACCCTTGCCATTCATATTCATGCAGAGTAGGCACCCATGTAAATAGAAATGTTGCCTTTTCAGAGGGAGAGTGCAGCATTTAGGCAATAATCCCCCCCTTCCTGGGCCACAAAATTAGGCACATATCATGACTTTTGGAAAAATGAGTGTAGGCTTTCTTCTGTGCAGAGAAATTATTGTTAGGCTTTTGCAGCTGTAGCCGTCGATGAAGGACTGATGAAAGCAGGCAAAGGGCAGAGCTAAGTTGTGCTGTTGGGCTTCCCAACCTCAGGCTTTCCAAATCTCTTCAGATATAACATACAAATTAATGTTGGTTGCTACACATGCAACTCCCTCCCTAAGTAACAGTCATATTTCATTTAATTCCCAAAGGAGCTCCAAGGAAGGGAGGGGGGCAGAGCTTTGTCTGTTGTCTTTCTCCTGGTTTGCCTCCAGTTTGCATAGGGCAGGTTTAGAAAGGCAGATCGGAGGGAGCCCTTCCGTCCTGTGACGCCTCCTGACCAAGGGCAGGATTGCCAGCTGTCTTGGTCACAAGTTAGGTCAAATATCACTTCTTCTCCATGAAATAATCATGGAAAAAACCCACTACTGTGGTGCATGAAACAGAAACATACATATTGTTTATGGTTACTTCTATGCTCCTAAGCCTGTTACAAGTAAATTATATTTTAACAACTCTTTGTAAGTGCTAATACTTTATAGTGAGCAGTGATGTATTGCAGCAGCTGAAAATTGTACATTTCCATGTAATCTTTTACCTTTCTTCTAAAATTGTTCTCATGGGATAGACTATGCAAAAAAAAATACAGGTTATAATTTTTTAGATGCATTTGATTTGATTCAGTGCCCAGTGTGGGGTATACCACACTGTAGCAATCACAGTTACGTGACATAATGCAGCATTCACCTTCATTAGAAAATGTTAAAACTTTGCCTTACCTTTGCCAAAGGAATGTTTTATAAATATTGGGAACAAATTAACACCTGGCATAATTACTCTGAGTTGTGATGAGTTATATTTAGAATGAGCCCCTTCAGAATGGGTAGTACCTTTTCTCTTTTCCTTTTGTTTTCCTTCTTCTTTACTGCTCGGAGGATCAAGGATATATCTCAGCTTAGCAATACCTGTTGTGAGGCAGGAGTTTCCTTCAGCCTGTTTCGATTCCCTGTGTAGTAAGAGTCATGGTCAGCCCCTTTGTAGCAAAGCACATCTCCCAGTGCCAAAATGCAGACTTGTTGTGGTGTCTAGAGGGTCCAGAACATGCGTGGGGTCTGAAAAAGCAAATTGTCTTTGCCTGCTCATTAATTACCTGTGTGCATCTTGCTGCAGTCCAGTGCCAGGAGTAGGTGATTCTTGCTGCTTGAGTGTCCTCAACTGCTCCATTCAAGTGGGGGTCTGAACACATAAATATGATGCAGCATACAGATTCTACTGTTGCTCCCCGTCTTCTCTGTATTGTGGCCTCTACCTGCCTCAATGTCACAGGATCCTTTGGAGCAGCTGAGGCAAAATTTGTCTCTGTATGAACTTTATAAGAAGGATTGCACATGTTTCACCAGCTGGTTAGGGATGTGAGCTGGAAGGCACCGTGAGAGACTCATGCAGTTAGGGTTGGCTAAGCAGAACAGAGTCACTAAGAGCTAGTACCAGGAACCAGATACAGACAAAGGTCTCTAGGATTGCTGTGGTTCTCCCATCAGTCAGCAACTCTGTCCTTCATCCCTTACCTGCCAACAGCAATGAGCTCCAGCTAGGAGAGGCAGAGTACAGGACAGCTACCTGACAAGTTCTGCTTGCTGCCCCATCCCTTTGCCCTGCACAGAGGTGACTTTTGGGTGATACTTGCAGCCCACAGTTGTAATATGGTCCTCCCATGCTGCCAGACCACTGTTAGTGATGGGGAAGGAGTTTTTTCTGCTTCCACTCTGGCTTGGAGAGTTGCTGAAGTGGCCTTTAGGCTGATGGACTCAAGCCTAAATGCATGTGGGAAGTTGTTTCCAAAGAGCATGCAGGCTTCTTTTTGTAACCTTGTTCTTTCTTGGCCGTGGAGACTACCTCAGCCTTTCTTTGGCTGAACCCATACGAGAGAGAGTGGATATGAAGTCTCTCCCAGAAATAACCCAGCAGGTGTCTGATGATGAGGATGTTACTACAGTAAATGCCACATTATTCAGTACCTGCTCAGAAATCCAGCAGCACTTTCCAAGCACAGAATTGGACTAAGCCACAAAAGCTCCTGTTTTATTTTCTGCCAAGAAAGAGAGAGCAGTGTCAAAGGACTGACAGGGATCCACTGGTGATGAAGTAGGAGATAGTGGGGAGGGAGCTGTCAGAGGGTCACAGGGAAGCTGAGCAAGCTGAGACTGTCAAATGGTTGCCTGGAAGAGTTATGGCCACATAAGCAGGATAATAGGTTCTGCTGAACCTCAAATGCTTCAATTTGAAGGATAAGAGGTGATATGGGGCAGCTGGTTTACTTTGAACCAATTCTGTATTCAAATGAAGCAATGCTGCATGTGTCAGATAAAATGTGATTTATCTTATGTGTCTCTATGACTGTCAGATAAAATGCACTTGGTGAGGTTTTGGAAGAAATCTGCATTTCTGACATACTGAGACAAATTCATCAATGGGAAAAGTGTTTCATTGTAGTAAGCCAAATAATGTTCCTCTTCTAGTGTAATGCAAATTATCCTGCCCACCAGCTTTCTATTTCTGTTTACTAATAGCATATAGGTACTTGTAAAATGTGATATTATATTTTAGTTATAAATTTGAAATTACTTCTATACATATGTAAATATTTTTGTAATATCTATCTGAATAGCAAAATGCCTGTAGGTAACCAAATAAGTAGGTAGATGTAGACCTATTTTTATGTCTTTATAAATAATACCAGCTTTGCCACAGAAGGAAATGTTGTCGGGCAAATAATGCTGTATGTTTCACAGAATGCCCTTAAATGCATATAACCTTGCTTTCTGTGGCTTTCATTTTAGTACTGTTCCACTGATCAGGCTGCTGCAGGCACAGATGCAGAACATGTACAACAGTTCTATAATCTTCTGACTGCCTCCATTGACATAACTAGAGGCTGGGCAGAAAAAATCCCAGGATTTACTGACCTCCCAAAAGAAGATCAGACATTACTCATAGAATCAGCTTTTTTGGAGCTGTTTGTACTAAGACTCTCCATCAGGTAACTATTTGTTTAATTTCCTCTTAAGATGATGTGAAAAATGATCCATCTGAATGTTTTTAAGGAATAAATATGGCACTATCTTTGAACATTGTCATTTGTACCAATGACAAATGCAATGTCTGCATACAAAGGATATGGTGTTTAATTTGTTTTACACTGCAGGAAAAATCAAGAAGGTGATTTAAAAAGAGATCATAGGTGTCACTAATGTGCTTCTTTTATTTGATCTGTCCCATCTTCCTCCTACATAGTAATCAAAATTGATCCTCAGGTACTATTTGAGCAAGTCTGCTTTGTACTCATAAGTATGAAATATAGAAACACGCTTCAAGTATGATTTTTTTTTCTTTTCCCTTTTTCATCTGTTTTTGAAAGGGATGAAGAAGATTTAAAATCTTATTCAGATTGGTTTTCTTTTTAATACCAAGTTATTTAATAGAGTGAGGTGCTGTTTGTCACTCTAGCACTAGTTAAGACACTTTACCGATTTCACTTTCAGGAACTGGCAAAATTGCAGACTGGTGATTTCAGTTATGCCCATGTTTATTTAAGTTGAAAATGACCTTTTCATGTGTTTTTTCAACAAAAATATTGGTAATGGAGAGGGAATAAGAGGAGAGCTTGGCTGTAATTTCTCTCTTGCACACAGGTTTTCATATAGAAGAGTTTATGCAGTTATGCGTTTGTCCTGCATTAATGCGTGTGTTCTCCATTGTTTTTTCCTTGCCAATTTTTACAATCTGAAAAAAGCAGATGATACTAAGTAAATGCTGAGGGTTGCAGAACCTATCTTTTTATTAGTTTTGTATATCAAAATGCACTCACTTAGTATTCCTTTGGTTCAAACATACAGTATTTAATGCAAAATGTCTTCTCTGTTTATGCCTTTGGGCAGGACCAAAATCTTAACTAATTAGACAGTCTACACCACATGCTGCAGCTAACCTCAGGCTTATAACTCTACCAAGTAAGCAATCACAGAAGCTTGTTTGTTGTACTTTGGCCCCGAGGGAGAAACATATTGTCAAACGTGAATGCCCACATATGTCTCAGGATAATATGCCTTGGATTTTAAATGACAGACGCTTCAATACTGGTTATGCATTTTTCTGTAAAGTAGAAGATGCATTTATAATTTTTTCAATTGTTTTTATTTGAGGTCTGATACTGCTGAAGATAAGTTTGTATTCTGCAATGGACTCGTGCTTCATAGACTTCAGTGCCTTCGAGGATTTGGGGAGTGGCTCGACTCTATTAAAGACTTTTCCTTAAACTTAAAGAGCCTTAACCTTGATATCCCAGCCTTAGCAAGTCTATCAGCTCTAACTATGATTACAGGTAAGTGCTCCTTTGTTAATAGAAAGCTTCAGACTCTAGTGCTTTGATTCATAATAGATTCAAGCAATTTCAGTTAATTTAGCTATATTCAGGGTGAAGTGATTATGATTTTTAAGCATTAGCATGACCAAATTGAAATTGTGGATTAACATTAGGCTACCAGACACCCCTCTTAAAATATTGTCTAACTATTTCTTTGCAGCTTCATTGTTTTCTCAGAGTATCTCCAAAAAGCAAACTGCTTCCAAGCAAATTGTGTGGCTCCTGCAAAAATATTCAAGATACTTTGTGAAGTCCCAGAAAATTTCAATGAAATTACCAGAGTTAGGTCTTCTATGTAGGAATAGTAATATCAAGGCAGCTTGAGACCTAGAGGCCATACAGCTAGCAGAGCTCTTCTCTCAGCAAGATAGCTAGACCAGAATGAGTGCTCCATGAGGGCAGGCAGGCTGCATTTGGTAACCAGGCTAGCCTAGGTATTCCATGTACTGCTTTTCTGAGAGATGAAAATCAGAGAATAATGAGAAAAAAATCACATTTCACAGTTGTACAAAAGTTTTTGGGTGTGCATGTGACTGTATGACCCTTTCTGCCTGCTGGGGTGACCAGCAGGAAACTAATGTCAGAATCTGCCAAATTTGTCCAATAAGTACAAAACAGGGGAACATAACCTTTTAAAGTGTAATTTTTGCATTCCTGAAACAATAAAGCCCAGCATACCTTGGCCATCTTGTAATAGAAGAGTCATGGCTGATGGCAGCATAAGGAGTGAGGAGAAAGGGTGTCTGAGAACCACACAGCAGAATTTGGAGCAGAAGTCATCTCCACAAAGAGCCTCACACTCATATCAGAAAAACTGATAGTTTAACAGTGCAGCTGTGTCATCAGTGTGAGACAGGGCTTCAGTGTGCCCTGAGCTGGATCTTCCTAGGGATGATTATAAGCTCCACCTGGATAGATACTGATTTCCTTCTGCGTTTCAGACATCTACTACTTTGCAGGCAGTGGCCTCAACAACACCAGCTGTAGTCTTTATTTTACCTGGGATGAGAATGATGTCAGGGCAACCCTGAGATAAAACACTCAATGACAGATATAAAAAAATAGAATTGGCCAATTCCTGCTGACGTTTGTGGGGCCAAGATTTTGGGTTCAGAGTTTGCACAGTATGCTGTCTTCCTGCGTTTTGGTGAAGGGTTAGTGTATGTATGTATCTCTTTGTCTCTTAAGCATTTTCAGGGTTTTTATTAATTTTTGTTAATTTCTTCTGCAGTTGGAAAGGGTACTTTGAGATCCAGATTCCAATTTCTTTGATAAAACATTTAAGACCAGAATAACTCATTGGAGCTGCTTTACTCTGTATAAAAAAATTCCCAAAATGAGTGGTACGTGTAAGTCAGGAAGAACATTCCCAACTTTCTTTTTTTTCTGTTGTGTATATACATCCACTGGCAGATGTTCACACCTACTTACATATATGTACTATAAACACCTACATGTATGTGTATGTGTGTGCATATTTATATACATACATAATGTATTTATGTATGTATATGCATTTAGATAACTAAATCAAGGACAGGTGCTGTCCCTCTCTAGATATATTTACATACAGGCATACATGCTCATATATATAGCGCATATGAGTGATTTAGATTATTAACTATATATGAGATATGTCTTTTTTAGGTAGCTATAGGTAGTGTGTTGTTGATTATCCTCCTGGACACCAAGAGTATGCAGGCTGATGAACAGGATTCCCAGCAAGCTACGTGAATGTAGCAAAAGCAAATGTATAGGAGGAAAACTCACTGCCCTTACAAACCCACGTTCTGTTTTAACATGGTGATTTGTTCAGTTAAGCACTGCTTGCTTGGCCTTACATAAGGAGTCAGAGTTGTCCAGTGGCTGGCTCAGTTCACCCTAGGATAATTAGAAACAGGTTTTAATTGGATACGTCCCACATTTCTTTCTTTCCTTGATCACAACACTTCCAGGAGTTTGCCACATTGTGCTGTCTTCCCAAAGTTTCCAAACAAATGGAAGCAATTGTTGCCTTTAAAAGGAGACAGTTTCTGTGTATAGAAGCTTTAAGATTTTCGCTGTCAAGTTTCTCTTGATTTTCTCTTCTGTGTGAGATGGTGTTTAAAATTAATGTTGTTTTCTGCTTATTCTTTTATTTCGTGAGGCTGGTATATCTCTGCTGATTTGTTCTAAGGACAGCATGTATTTTCATGTGATCTAAATTAGACCAAAGCTCTAGTGACTTATATTCACAGGTTTCAGATATCCAAGGGCAGTTAGCTAACTCAGGGACTCAGCCAGAAATTTGGTCACCTGAAAACAGATAGCATTGTATAATGATGAACAATGTTAAAAATAAAACATGCAAGAGGAAATCAGGTGATTCTAGCTAGTGTATTGAAATTTTTTATTCAGGAAAACCTTGAGATTTGGCTCTGATGTGGCATCCCACAAGAAATGGCTTCTTGTCTCCTCCCTGCAGTTTGAGTTTGAGTATCACAAGCCATGTGATGGTTTTCAGCTAGTCACACCAAAAGAGAAAAAATAACAAAGAGAAAATTTGCAAAGATGAAACCTGAAGAAGTCTGAATTGTTGAACATTTTTAAACATCGTTTTGAGGCTTAGCTTAGATTTAGATGAGTGATTTAGGTGCCATTCTTTATCTCCAGGGAAGGCACCCTTTTCTCCTGTAATGGACTGTTGGAAGCAATGGGTAGTTGGCAAACTCTGCTTCAAGCCTTTTCTGTCAGTCAGATCAAGGAAGAACAACCTTTCCCAGGAACACAAGATATCCAAGTATTGACTACCACTGTCTTTTGTCTTAAGAGAACTTCATACATTGCATGGGGCCACAGAAGGGGTGTTGTGTCTGATGATTTGTGGATGAGCTGGTGGTCAGAGGGACACCCAAGGCCCTATCTCTGGTCTGATTCCAGCAGGAAGGGAATCTGACCATGGTTCTCCCATGTTCCAGGTAGATATCCGTGTCACTAGGCTTCAAAATAAGAAGTGAGAAAGCTTTCTTTTGTCAATCTAATTGTTTGCCTTTAGTAGCAACACTAAATGCTGCCTTGAGCAAAATTTTCTTGATTATCACACAAATTGCTTATGACTTGATGGCTTAACAAAAAAAAAAAAAAAAAAATTTACAACAGCCCTGTGATCTGTAGTAGTCATAGCGTGTTTTAACACTGTATAGCATCTTAGGTAGGATTGTATTCAAGAATTGTCTTTCCAGATAAAGAAAAATTTCTTCTGAGGATAATGAGCGGGTAATCCTACTTGATTTCACGAATGCTGTCCTTAGCCCAAACAAATATGTGCTCTTAGAAACCAAACCTTCTTATATACTACCAATCTTTGGCAGTTTTGAGGGAGAAGAGTAAGAGGAGTCACATATTCTTTCACATATTCTGTCTGTGTTCTTCAAGAGTGACAGGGAGAACTAATGTCTGTCTCCCAGTGAAGGAAGAGGGAATAAATGTAAAATTCAGTGTTGGAGACTAAAAGACATTCCACTGGTCCCAGTGTCCTAAGATCTATGAAGGCTGTTCCTTCATTTTGAGATGTCAAATTGTGTGCCCAGTAACAGCCCCAGTAGTTCCAGCAACGTTCAGTTAACCCTGCTGACTTGTTTGGAGCTGCAAAGCTCCATGTCCTATCCCAACCACAGCTGCAGATGACAGCATAGGATGCAGGGTTAAGAGCACGTAGGGTCATTTGTTCTTTTCAGTGTAGTTCCATACATTGTTTGCTTTGGGTAAAACTAAAGGTATGTACAATATTTTGCATTATAGATTCCATTGGAAAGTCCATATATTTTTGCTTTTTCTATCTCTTTTATGTGTCCTGGAAATCTGTGGTATGTTGCCTAGAAGGAAAAGCATTATGTCAGATTGCTGATGAGTTTTCAGGTCCTCTCAGATAAGACATCACCTTAAAAGAGCATCCAGAATGAAAGAAGTTGCATCTTGTGTACTGTGAAGGCTTGCAAGCAGTTAACTTAGAACTCTGTCATGCCAAAACACATCTTTTTACTGTAAGGTGTTCCTTTAGGATCTTCCTCTCTCTGTCTCTCTTCTCTTTTTCTACTTCCTTTAGTTGGTTTAGAAAAGCTGGACACAACTTCCTCCACACCAAATGATTGTTGCTCTAAACATAACCCAGAAGAAAGTAGGTGGGAAACAACACATGACACTCACCTCACATGCCTATGAAAGTAAAAAAAACTTAGGTCTGTCATCTTCTTCTTTGGATCACTTATTCTGTTGGTAGTTAGCATCTAATGAGCTAAAGAAGAGCACCAACATGGAAAGGAAATGCTGGTCTTGGGTCAAGTTCTGTTGTTAATTCCAAACAGATGATTTCTATGAGCTTAGTGTGTTCATGGATCACAAGTCTTCCTGCACAGTCACTCCATGATGGACTGGGCAGTGTTGAAGACAAAGCTTTGCAGAGTAGACTAGATACTAACTCAGCCTATGCTGGAAAATGCTTCTTAAACTTCCCAAATGACTTTTTGTTAGTTTTTTTCAGTCAGTGTGAAAATAGAAAGACTGAGAGTCCAGTACAGATCATCTGAATGGCACATTCTAATTCAGCCTCAAATTTTTGCCTGCTCTAGAACTGCTAGTGTTTTCTCTCTCTCATTCTCCTTGTTGATTATGTTTTCCTCTCTGCCCCTTCCTTTCTCTATCCACATCAAACCATTATTATTTTGCCCACTTGACACTCTCAGTGGGATGCTGCTGAGTACAGAGCATGCTACCCTCATTCAGCCAAGCTCTTTCAGCATATGTTTTATTTTAAGTGTGTTACAGACCAGCCCACAACCACTGTATATATTGGGCCTATTCACACTCCTAATGCTTTGTTAGACTGGCACCAGACCACTGAAGAATATTGTGAGGTTTCAATTAATTAGGAGTTTGTGTTTGTCTTCCTGCTGTTGGGCTTTCTGTTCCAGTTTACAAACACAATTTTTAGCACCATCAGTCATACCAAGAAACAGTGATGAGACCAGTGTGGCTAAAAAGGGTACGACTGCTGCAATGCCTTCTGAACATGACTTTGTCCAACCTCCCAATGGAATCGAGACTTACCTACTCTTCAGCAGCAGATATCCTTCAGTTCTCTTGCCAGGATATCCTCTGGAGTGGGTGCTTCATGTGCTGGGTCTACATACAAGCAGGTGGCAGACTGGAGGAGTGTAGGAGAGCTAGTTATAAAAAAAAAAACCCTCCAGATTGCATTGTCTGCCTTCCCCCTGCCACTTAGCTGAGGGAAATACTGTCAGCGTCAAAGTAAAGTACTCACTCCTCCTTTTTCACTCCCACCTCTTTATTGAGGCAAGAACTCTTTACTTCCACAGCAACCAGCAGTCTCTGTATTATATTGTGGTTTTCTTAAAAGAGGGAGCAAACTGTGGTGTTCTGTGTGGCCACTCATCTCACCTGACTTCAGGTACCTTGCACAGCTGATGGAGAATACAGGGCACCTCCAGAAGATGATTCATGCACCTAAAATTGTAATAATCTTCTAAAAATGCCCATCCTTACACTGATGTGAGGAGGAGTTTGAGAGGTCGGTGCACCAAGGCTGGGGACCCTTGTGAGGTGTCTGAGTTAGGCAGGATAAATGTGGGCCAGACTGCAACAGGAAAGGAGACTCTTGGATCAGCCAAGTTGCAATGTTGCTGTGTAACAGCGTGTGCGCGAGAAAGCTGTAGGCAACTGAGCTTTGTGCTTATTTGAGTTATAGAAGGGGAAGAGAAATGTGAAGGGGGAAGAGAAAATCACATAACTACATTGAAACCAAGAAAATCAAGAGGCTATTTTAAGCCTGCAGTGTTCATCTGTTGCATTTCTGGACACCTCAGAATTAACTGAGACTAAAAGTGATACCCCGTGACACAGAGTGCAGAGCCCAGGGTCTTTGAGGTACTCACACTCTTTGAGATGCATTTGCTCAGATAGTGTAAAGTGAGGAATTTGTAAAAGTAGTGCTCAGTCTGCCTGACCCTGGCATGATCTACCTAGGTCAGAGGTTAGGGTCTTTGCTTTCTTCCTGTTGAGTTTTTGCTGATCAATGTAATGATAGCACAAAACCACATTCAGCTTCCTGGGAAAAGGAAAAAGGTGTAAAAAACTTGCTGTTTTACCAGGATAAGCTAAGTTTGCAGAGCTTTAGAGGTAAGACTTTTGATGAGTCATTTTGACAGCATCTTTGCCATAAATCACCATTTTTCTTGCAAAAATCAATTATATCCTAAAACACAATCTTGGTTTGTTACAGGCTGAGAAATCCGGTGTTCACTTAACGCGTGCCTCTGTCATTATAAGAAAGTCCGACTACGATAATATTTACACATCTCCTCAATCAGTTAAAGAAAATCTATCTGTTTTGACCAGCTGTACTTCTTGGGCTAAATCTTGGCCTTATCATTCCCATGTGGATAAGAATATCCTGTGGAAGACAGTGAATGTTTAGAGGCCCTTGGTGTCAGTGCCACTGCCCACCCTTGCCACAGGGGCCTGGTGCTGCTCCCTCTAGGTTGTATAAGAAAGACTGTGGGTCTTTCTTTGTACACACAGAACTGGGCATTTGAAAAAGGCAAGAAAATGTGTTTCCTGTTGTTTGAGCCCTGTTCAATCTAAATCTTTGGGCAAATTAGGCCCCAGATGCCTCAAGTCTACCAAGGAGAGGGGCCTATTCTTAGATGCGTGTGGTCTTCAGAAAGTAGTTGTGTTCTACCACCGGAGACTGCAGTGGCAGTGCCAGTGCATGCAATGTCCTTCCACACAAATGGCTTTGCCTTTCTATGAATGCCTTAGGAGTTTAAGACTGAAACCCCTAGAGGCTGCTCCAGGCATGAGGGATTAACCCTTATGGAGATAGTGCAAGTAGTGAAGGCCATTGTGTGGCAATTCACTCAGGGGAGGACAATTTGGTTTATCAGGGACTGCTTTGATATTGTAGCACCAGACTTTAAGGACAGAGTATCTCTTAATTCTGAATTTCCACGATTTTGTTATGTAAGGTAAGGCTGCTAATATGATAATCTTTGCACACATAGTGTTTTGCCTCCTACATTTCATGGCTATTCACGAAAGACATGATTTTTTCATGAAACCTTCTGAACTTGTCAGTGGGAGACAAGCTGTTTAGTTCTGGCTGGAAATGCTAACAAAGTTGCTGCATGCTCCAGAGCCAGAGATAATTTTTCATACTCTGCAGCAAGGTACCCACCTACTGAGGCAGTGGTTTGAAAATGTGCTCTGGTAATTTGTAGTGAGGTTTTGGTTCCATTCTAGTATTGCAGCTCCCTACATCTATAAAAATATCTTCACTTACACAGCTAGGAAACAAAACAGATTAAAAGATGGGAACTCTTCAAAGATTGCAAGATTAATTTAATGTCCTGCAGATTCTCTCAGTAGGCTAGTGGTAAAAAAAAAAAAAAGCCCTACAGCTCTTCCAACATGTATAAAATATTTATCTGCCAAGATCTTTAATGGCAGAATCTGCCTAAGTATTTACTCTCAGTGACCTGTATAGTTAAGGCTTACATAATTACTCTATACACCATTTACTGGAAAGGCTTTAAATATTCATTGACTTCTCATGTTTTAATGTAAACAAGGCACTTAGAATGCCTAGGGTTTTTAATTCCTGCAAGGTGAAAACGATGTCTGAAGCAGATGTCACTGGTTGGATAAGTGTTGCTTTGAAACAACAGGGCAGATTGGCAGTACTTAAATGATAGAGCACAGTAAATTCTGGACAGAGATGTCCATGTCTGCACATCTCTGATTCTGATCCCAAACCAGTGTTATTCAGGAGCTAACTCTGCCTAAGTAAATACAGTTGGAAAAAAATGTGTAAAATGGGTGAATATCAGTGGAAAACCAGACCTTTGCATTTCTGACTGCCCTCATTGAGTCCTGTCTGTTTTATTGGTTTGTACAGAGTATCTAAGCCAAAACAGGTGGTGAGCAAGGAGTTTACATACACAGGCCTGGGCAAGGCACCACTGTGCTTGGTGCAGGCAATACTTCTGCTTCTGGAAGTAGAGAGAACTGTACTCTTTTCACTGTTCATTAGGGGACAGACAGAGGACATGTCTATTGCTTGCTCCTCCTGGCATGGAGGAACAAGACTTGGGGACAGTGGGCACAATGTGGCTGCTGGCTGCCAGGGATGGGAGAGAGGTCCAGGGAAGGAGATGACTTCAAAACCATCAAACACAAGAACTGCCACAATTTCTCCTTATTCACTGCTGTCATTGTTTTATATATCTAATTGACTTAATATAACCTGCATTTTCTTTGATTACTGTATCTGGCACCATTCTATTTCACATGTAAATTATTATGACTTTGCTGTGAAGCCATTTCTTACTTACCTGTGTGTTTCAAAGTCAGAGACAAATGAATGCACCACAAATTTGAGATTTTTTTCTGAATTTTTTTGTTCTGTTACTTTAGTTCATCCACTGAGCCTTGATAGCAAACAACATAGAATTCTTTCCCCAGTAAAAAGTCTGCTTTTAATGAATCACAAATCTGATTAATTCTACTTATGCTTAAAGAACTGTGAATGCATTTAACATCATTGTTGTATTTTAAAAAGATATTTGAATGGGAACAAACCCCAGCTCTCCTTCCTTTTAGGAGCACTGAGGTTTTTGTGATGGATAACATAGCAGCTGTTCAGGCATTGCTCACTCAAAGCAAAATAGTTAACTTCCAGGCTTCTTTTATCTTAGAGCTTTTAAAGATGAATAAACTAAAAAGCAGCAGCTGATCAAAATAACAAAGGGTAGTAAGGTGCCTTTAGTTTCTTATAAGAGTGTCTGCAAATTCCTGGTGGAATTCTAGGCTGGGCGCTGATGGAGCTAGCTAAGGATATTGATCGCCACTTGAATTCACTGAATAAATAATGGTTGCCATAGTTATTGAGCATTCACAACTGGTGGGGAAGCACGGAAATCTCCAAAACACCTCCTGTGATGGTTTTGCTGCAAAATCACCCAATTAATTCTGCCTCATATCATGAAAATTATGTCAGATACACAGGATGCTTGGAGTCCTTGTACGAGAATTTCAATCATAACTGAGCATCTCTGTCACCTGTTTTAGTAGATAAAGAGAAAAGGGCACTTGCCCTCTCTTATTTTGTGTGGCAGAAAGGTTAACTGGCTCCATGTAACCCCAGCTGTTCTGAGAAATCTACTGTCTCGGAGCACTTTTTGCTCTGAGTTCCAGAGTATGCACCTGGGTTACACCTAAGAAAATGCATTTGTGATAGGGATGCTGACGTGGTTTCTTTCCTCTGGCTTTGCAGAACGACATGGATTAAAAGAACCAAAGAAAGTGGAAGAGCTATGCAACAAGATCACAAGCAGTTTGAAAGATCACTTAACTTTCAGTTGCCAAAACAAAGGACAACCGCTCGAGTCTGCAGAGCCGAAGGTACTGGGTGTTCTGGCTGACTTGCGTTCTCTCTGCACACTGGGACTGCAGCGCATCTTTTACCTGAAACTGGAAGATTTGGTGCCAGCCCCTTCCATCGTCGACAGGCTGTTTCTGGACACCTTACCCTTCTGAGTCAAACCACCCTCCCGAGAGGCAAACGCCCGCCAGAGCAGGCAAACGGATCGTGACTTACAGCTAACATTTCTGCCCTCACCTAACAGAAAAGCCGCTCCGAGTCTAACATGAGGTCTTTTCTGGCGCTTTGTCCTTACAACCTGAGGCCTGAAACTTACTGGCTTACTGGTTTGGGGTTGTGTTCTTTGTTTTCTTTCGTGTGATTTGGGTTTTTTAAATGGCTAATATGGCACTTTTGGACAATGCTATCCCAGCAGCAGTAAAAGGTTAACATGACTGTTTTAAATCTGTTGTTTAACACCTCATGGTCTATGAGGAGTAAAATTGTAGAAGCTGTGTTTGAAAGAACAGCAAATTGTTGTTTGCAAGGGTAGTATGTGTTTTGTGAGGATACCTTTAGCATACTTCCTGCATCAAGGGCACATACATCAGCACAATCTAATCAAAATTTCACTTTTTTAGCAAAGTACATTCAATTAAACATTTCATACAAATCAAATATAGCAAAATGACAATGGCTGTTAGCTCCCATGTTCAAGTGCAATTTTTTAAAGTGCTGTCTTACTAAGTCTCGTTTATTAACTAATTTATTTTATTAGGAAAACAAACAGAAGAAATCAAGGGAGAAAATTACATGCACTAACTTACCTGACAGAGTTTTCCAAACTTGATTCCATGTAGCGTGACTTATTGACAAATGTATGTGGAAGACACGGGAGCAATTGTGGCTCAGTTGTTCCTTAGCTAAGGAAACCCGAGTAAGTAGTGATTGGAGCATACAGGGTCAGTATCAGGGATAGTTCAGTTCTAGACTTCTAACACTTCTAAGCAACTCGTTAGTAAACAGACAGAAGATGGTTTTCAAGAACAAGCAAGTCTTGTAAAATAGTATGAATGTAAGTGCTAGGAAGGATATAGTGGGCTGCGTTTAAACATTCCGTGTTCGTACTCCTTTTTGTATGTTTATACTGTTGATGCCATATTAATATGAGATAATTTGTTGCATAGTGTCTTTATTTGTATAAATGTTTGTATGCATGGTATATTGTAATGGCTTTGCCTGTATTTATTGCAATGACTGCCAGCTCATGGGAACCCTGTTACACATGATAACTAAATGGGGTGTTCACACTGACTCAGATACACCAGTTGGAAAACTATATACATATATATAATGTGTATGTATATATATGTATATACCTATATTTGTGTGCGTGTGTGTGTGCGCGTGTCTTTTTATTAACCATTTGTATATAAAATATCTGTCAAATCACAAGCAGAGTTATTTTACGGTTTATTTGCAGTGACTTCTAAGGCAGTACTGTTTAGCACTTTGATATTAAAATCTTGCTCATGTTTTGCTAAATTCAAATAATATTTAAAAAGTTCAGTTCTAAAAAACTTTATATGCACTGTATTAAGTCAAAATTTTGTTGGTCATTTTGCTAAAGAAATTTTTGAATGTCAACCTGATGTCACTGTATCTTTTGTTAGCTTTAAACATTCTAGCTTTTGTCTTTTTTTAAACTATGCTGTTTATATGGAAATTAAATTATACAATCAAACAGATGCCAAATGAATTGCCTAATTGCTGCAAAGGATAACCCAGATATCGAGTCACTGTATGGTTTTCAAAAAGTAATCTGGTATTTTATCACTTACTATGTTTGGATGTGCTTTTATGAAAAAATTATTCTTATATCAAGATTTATAGTAGTGTCAATAGGGAAACAGACTTCTAATCACTATAGTTAATATTTCTGGTTTACCTGCAGATAATATTTGGAGAAGTATTGCTTTTTGTATTGACTTTTAAGCTTATGTGCAAACATAATAGCATAATTAAATATCAGAGAAGCTAATGTTTCTTGTAGGTTGCTGTAACAAGCCTGACCAGCAAGACAAATATATTTTGACTGAATTTGCTTTTGTATATACTAAATATATATATATACATATATATATATATACACACTCACACACATGTGCGCATACAAGAACATACAGACATAAAATCCAAAAAAAGAATGTTTGCTTTTGCCTCCTTGTGTAAGACACAAGGTCCCTTGAGAAATTACTTTTACCTAAGGACAAATCCTGCCAGGTGCTGAGCACCACCCAGACAAGGGCTTGCAGGAGCTTTTTGCGAGCGTGCCCTTATCAAGGATTTTGAAGCAAATCAGCATAGTACAGTAAAATTGCTTTTTTGTTGAGCAAGGTTTATTTATTAAGTGGAATGTGAGTGGGAGGAAGCAGGTTAAGAGCCCCGTGTGAGATTTCACGTAGTCTGTGTCCTCCAGTCTTCCATAGACAGTCTTAGCTGTGATACTCTCCCAAATCCCATCATCTGTGGAATTGTCCTTCATGTCAACTTCAATACACTGATTCATCCTAGAGTACAACCGGTGACCTGTCACAGTGGTAAAAGAAAGAGTTAAAGCAGAATAAATCTACTACTATTCTTAGAGCTCTCTCAGTGTGAACATGCCTTTGTCTAGGCAGAATTCAGGAATATATCAGGTGTTAAGGGAGAGTGCCTTGCTTTTATTTCAGACAACAGTGTCTCAAGAGTTTCTTCACTCAGCTAACCACAGTACTTTCTTTCTTTCTTTTTTTTCTTTTTTTTCTTTTTTTTCTTTTTTTTTTTTTTTTTTTTTGTGGTGTTAACCTGTGGGTTGAAAGAAATGCTCATGTACATATACAATGTAAATTAAAATTATTAAATTGAATAACATTTTTTTCAGAGGCCCCATGTGTGTTGAATAAGTATGCTTAATTCTGTTAAAATCTGATGTGAATTTTTTATCATTTATAAAACATTAAAAAAATTGTCTACTTGAGTCTTAAAAGTGGAAAAATTGGTGAAGCATGCTTAAGAACACTGGCAATTTAATGGCTAGTCTTTTGATTAAAATAGCTTTTATATAAATACATGCCTGCAGTATCTGGTTATGCAATCTCAGTTAGATATTGAGAGCTGGATCATGGTTGTCCCAGAGGTTGAACCACATATAGACCAGAGCACAGAGACTATTCACCCCTCACTGTATTTCTCCTCCATGACAAAAAGGGATTGTAGTTGTTAATCCAGAGCTGATGAGGCTGCAGAGGAGGGAGTGGATGGCTACAGGGCTCATGGCACCAATGTCTGGCCAGGAAGAGGACAGAGCTCCCATCCCATATTCAGCCCCTGTGCATCAGTAAATCCTGCTAAGGCATCGCTCCAGCAGGCACCTGCATCATTTTCTTCCAATGCCCCTCCAGCTCCTTTCCTTACCGTGCCATTGCCTTGCAGGAGGGATGGCTTATCCCCTGCCAGACAAAACTGTTTGGCTACAAATGCATTTCCAACAAACGCAGTTTGGAGGGGCATCTGCTGCTATTCTGGGCATTGCCGTGAGTACGGATGGCTCCGGCAAAGCTCCGCGAGCGCTGTTCCGCAGGAGCTGCTCGGCTGGAGGCTACATCAAATGATGTGCTGTGCTGGGCTGCAGGATTGTTTTGTCACATTTCCTGTCCTGGAAATGTGACAAAACAAAAGGTTGTGCTAACTCTTCAAAATTATTTTCGAGGTTTTTTGTTGTTTTTTTTTTCTATGCCATATTTTTAAAATTTTAACTGTGAATCTTAAGATTGTTAATGATAATGACAGTAAGTTTTGCATATTAGCTCCCTCTTTAGCAAAATATGCAGATCTTGAGATCAAGCCACACCAAGGTCTGAACTTTCACCCTACAAGATGAAGTTTATCCTCACTAAACTTACAAGTATTTAATTTTGTAATTATTTTAGGGTCTTGTGTCCTTAGACTTGAGAACAGGCCTATATCCTGATCTAATCTGCAGTTCTGTCTTTATGTATGCCTTGTGTGCTTACACCTCTAAAACACATCAGCAGCAGAGGCCTTGCTAACAGATGTGATGCCCAAAAGTTGTTTTTGGCAGTGGAAGATTGGGCTGAGTCAGGAATATTATAGCAGGTTCCTCTAGTAACAGCCACCCTTGGACAAGAGACTGTCACAAAGGCACCCAAAATTGAGGAACTTTAACTAGAGGTGAGTCAAATCCCTTTCTACAGCTTTTCTACTTTTACTTTTTGCATTCAGGTTCATTTGTCCAATATACAAAGCTAAAAATTCAGTTATGTTGTAGAAAGGAGGGAGACAGAGTGGTTTAATTGTATAAAATTAAGTGTGGTTCTGGGAAAAATTGGCAACACCCTCTGAGGACACTGAAACATGTCTTTTGATTAATTATTTGTATTATAGCAACACCTAGAGGCCACAACAGAGATCAGGACCCCATTTTGCTACCTACTCTAATTAGCACCTCCAGTTCCCACCCACAAGAAGCTCCAGTCCAAACAGAAAAAATAAAATAGGAGAATGCCAACCCAAGGGCATTCAGCATCTCGGTCATAGAGTTGAGATTACAACCTTCTTTTTGCTGAGCTAGTGTCCAGTGAATGCTCTTACTTCATTTTCCTTTTCTTTCCATTATACTGCCACTGTGTCAAATTATAAAAACATGATAAAAGCATTGACAAATTCAAAATAACCCAGGTATTCAAACTGACTTTTTTTACCCTGCCTATGAAGTCATCCATGAGACTATTCAAAATCATGGTCAATCACATGTTTTGTCAACCAAACTAGACAGTATTTAGAAAAGAAATACTTATCTGTCCTTTATTAAATTAATGAAGTCAAACATTAGGAATATTGCAAGATATGGATTAAACAATAATTACTAATGGACAAAAAGGATTAACTTTTTTAAATGCCAAACTATTGATGTAGTAATTGAATAAATGGGGTGCCAGTTAATCAAATTCTTAGCAGCAGAGGACATATTTGAGAATTGTATTCCAGACCTGCGTTTGTGAGCATTACCAATGCGGTGATTTGTCAAATAAAAGTAAAAGAAACTTGTTTACCAAATGGAAACACTTATAGCAAATTTTATTCTGTTTTCTTTTTTAGCTTTAGTCACCTTTATGCCTATATTCATAATATGGAATGTTGTGGCTGTGTTTGATCACAGAAGGAGTTTAAATACATGAAATTGTTATATGGCTGTGAAAGTCAAATGAGATCAAGATTCTGACCTTACCCCACAAAATCTAGGATTTTCTGTATAAAGAAGCATGGGATTCCACCTTATGCTGGTTTTGGTTGGGATACAGTTAATTTTTGTCACAGTAGCTGATGTGGGGCTGTGCTCTGGATTTGTGCTAGAAGCAGTGTTGGTAACAAAGAGATTTTTTTGTTACTGCTGAGCAGAGCTTACGGAGAGCCAAGGCTCTTTTTGCTCCCCACCCTGCCAGTGATAAAAGCTGGGGGTACACAAGCACTTGGGAGGGGACACAGCCAAGGCAGTCTCCAACTGACCCAAGGGGTTTTCCATACCATGAGCATGATGTTCAGCAATAAAAACTGGGGAAAGAAGAAGGCAGGCGGGGACATTCGGAGTGGTGGCATTTGCCTTCCCAAGTCGCAAGCATGACAGAAACCTGTTGTCCTGGGGATGGCTGAACACCTGCATGCCCATGGGAAGGGATGAATTAATTCCTTGTTTTGCTTTGCTTGCATATGCAGCTTTTGCTTTCTCTATTGACCTGTCTTTATTATTGTGAGAAACCCAAGACTTTTCTCCCTTTGACTCTTCTGATTCTGTCTCCGAGCCCACCAGTGGAGACTGAGCAAGTGGCTGTTTGGGGCTGAGTTGCCTGCTGGGGTTAAAGCACAGCACAGATATAAATGATGTTCTGTATATGGCAAGAGCCTTATGTGTGTATAATGAAATTACTCAAGTAGTACAAGGTTCTGAAGTCATGCCAAAGATAAGACCATGGGGGAAAAAAAGCATTTTTTCCACATTGTTTAATATTTTCATTGAATCGTTGAAACATTTAGGTTGTAAAAGACTCTAAGATGGAGTCCAACAGTTAACTTAGCACTGCCAAATCCATGAAAAAGGCATGTCCCCAGGTGCCACATCTGCCTTTGAAATATCCCAGAGGCAGTGACACTATCACTCCTATGGACAGCCCATTTGAGTGCTTGACAATCCTTTCAGTGAATAAATTTTTCCTAATATCCAATCTATATCTTCCCTGTCATAACCTGAGGCCTTTTCCTCTTGTCCTGCCACTTGTTATCTGGGAGACTGATTCCCACCTGGCTACACCCTCCTTTCAGGCAGTTGTAGAGAGCAATGAGGTCACCCCTTGTTGTCACAGGCCCCCAGCTGGGTAATAGTTAGCATTGCCTCCATGATTGCAGAAGGCTGATCAATCACTTTATTATATTATATCATACTATACTATATTTCTTAAAAAACTCATCCCCTTGCAGACAGTCCTATACAGCATTGACCTAATTGGTCAATGAATCAAAACACCATCCAGTGTCCAATTAAGAAATCACCCTTTGGTAAACAAATTTCCATAAAACATTCCACATGTGCACAACCACAGGTGCAGCATGTGGAGATAAGAATTGTTTCTCATGATTTTCTCTGATCTTCTCACAGCCTTCCCCAGGACAATGCCTGGGAAAGTTATCTGTTGCTCTCTGTGGCCAGAGAGCTGCTGCCACAACCCCTGAGCCTCCTTTTCTCCCCAAACAATCCCAGCTCCCTCAGCCACTGGTTGAAGCATTTCCCACCCAGACCCTTCACCAGCTCCATTGCCTCCCTCTGGACTCACTCCAGCACCTCAATGTCATGCTTGTTCTGAGGAATCCAAACCCAGGGATTTGAGGTGCAGCCTTACCAGTGCCAAGTACGCAGGGATGATTCCCCCTCTGCTCCTGCTGGCCTCATATTCCTGACACAGGCCAGGAAGCCATTGGCCTCCTTGGCCACCTGGGCACACTCTGGCTCTTGCTCAGTCACTGTCACTCAGCACTCCCTTTTCCACCAGAAGCTTTCCAGCCCCTCTGCCCCCAGCCTCCGGCCTGGGGATGTTGTGACCCAAGGACAGGGTCTGGCACTTGTTGAAGCTCAGAGAGTTGCCTCAGCCCATCAATCCAGCCTGTCCATATCCCTCTGCAGAGCCTTTCCATAGATCAATATTCCCACCCAGTAGATTGATATTCCCACCCAACTTGGTGAGAGTCTGCAAATGCACAGAGGGTGCACTTGATCTCCTCATCCAGATCACTGATAAACCTATTAAACAGAACTGGCCTCAAGAGCGAGCCCTGGGAGCACCACTTGTGACCAGCCATCAGCTGGATGTTATTCACCACTACTCTCTGGGCCTGGCTGTACAGGCAGCTGTACATCCAGCAAAGAATACACCCATCCAAGACATGGGAAGCCAGTTTCTCCAGGAGAATGTTGTGGGAAATGGTGTCAAAGGCTTAACTGAAGTTTAGCTGGACAACATTTCTTTAATCCACTAAGGGAGTCACCTTGTCACAGAAGATCAGGTTGGTCAAGCCTTTCATAAACCCATGTTGGCTGGACCTGATCCCCCAGTGGTCCTGTATATGCCACTCGCTGGCACTCAGGATTACCAGCTCCATTTTAGATTGTTTATCAGTTTTCCTAAAAGGAACAGAGACCTCGGGGCTTATTTAGGTGGAATTTTGTCTCAAAGAAACAAATAAATAAATAAACTTGCTAAGTGACATTTAAAGAAAGAAATGGTTTAAAGAAGCTGGAATCACTCAAATAAGCCAAAGTCTTTAACTTGCTAAATAACATATTAAAAAAATCTCTTCATGAAACTTCCACAGTAGTCTGTGATAAAACATTAGTGTAGAATGAAAGTGAATTACAGAAATGCTTGATACTGAGTAAACTTTCAAATATAGCAGGCAGAAAACAGAAATTAATTTACCTTTCATGGGTTCTTATTATTTATCTTGCTGTGTTTCCTAATTAATTGACGATATTGATGTTTACATAGGGATTTGCTCCTTTCCAACTTTGCTTGATCCTGTGAAGAAGTCAGAATGCTGCATTTGTAGTATCACATTTATTGTCATGGCAACAGTCAGGGCTTTCACAAACACTAATTAGGGTTGGCAACTTGGAATGTTTTCAGTGCAATCCCATATAATTTTCCCTCTTTTATCCATTTCTCATTATACCTTACTTCAACAATTGACTTCTTCAGTCTGTGTACAGTTTTTTCCCACATGACCTCAGGATTCAGTTAATACCTCCTCTGATTTGCAGCCACCTTTCTTATACACTCTCACACACTCAGTTAAGAAGCAACTGCAGTCCTACCTGCATTTGTATTAAGCTCCATCTCTTCCACTTCAAATTAGTCCAAGTTTCAGTACAACCAGCTGGCTTCTACCTCAACATGTGCAAAAGTAGCAAGGAAAGGTGTGGAGGCTTAGCTGTTTCTTCCAAGATACTTTTAAAGGTAGATGCTAAATCTTACTCAAAGTGGACTACAAACCTTCTGTTCACAGAAGCCTAAGTTCTGTGAACATCCAAAAAATCATATTAAATAATTTAATTCAAGTACATCAAAAGCATTTATGGACACTTAATTTGTTATGCAATAATACAGAGAGCTGCGCCCATATGAGCCTCATGGCCTTTAACAAGGCCAAGTGCAAACTCTTGTGCCTGGGTCAATCCCAAACATGGATACAGGCTGGGTGATGAGCCAGCTGAGAGCAGCCCTGTGGAGAAGGACCCAGCAGGACTGCTGGATGAGACACTGAATGTGAGCCTGCAGTGCGTGCTCACAGCCCAGAAAGACAACAGTACTCTGGGATGCATCAAAAGGATGGCCAGCAGGTTAAGAGAGGTGATCTTCCACTCCCCTGGAATATTTGTTCAGGTTAGAGCCCCCAGCATAAGAAGGACATGGCCCTGCTCAAGTGAGGAGCCAGAATAGGCCCAGAAAGATGACTGGGGGCAGGAACACTTCCCCATGAGTTCCCCATGAGCTGGAACACTTCCCCATGAGTGCTGGCTGAGAGAACTGGGGTTCACATGCTAGACAGAAGGCCTCAGGAGACCCTGCTGTGGCCCTCCAGTACTTTAGGAAGGTCAAGAGAAAAGAGGTGGAGGGACTCCTTATCTGGGAGTGTAGTGATAGGACAAGGAACAATGGTTTAAAACTGATAGAGGATAAATTTATATTAGACATTAGGAAGAAATTCCTTATTCCAAAGTTTGTGTGACACTAGAACAGGTTGCCCAGAGAAGTTGTGGATGCCCCATCACTGGAGCTGTTCAAGGCCAGGTTGGATGGGGCTTTGAGCAATTTGGTCTAGTGGAAGGTGTCTCTGCCCATTGCAGGGAGTTTTGAATTGGATCATCTTTAAGGTCCCTTCCAACCCCAACCATTCTATGGCTCTATGACTAATCATGTATTATGGTCATCCAATTGAGTTAGCACCCAAAAGTCTTATCTCAAAAGTCTTATCAAGCCCTGTGTGGGCAGTGAACTTTTGAGCCTCTCAAAAAACAAAATGTATTCATTTGCTAATAAAGGAAGAAGGTAAATTTGTGATGGCATCACCAGAAGAGGGGAGGTTTTATTTCATTGTACATGCTCAGGGTAAGAATGAGAAGTGTCTACCATTCAAAGTAAAATATTCCCATTCTGCAGCTAGCTTGAGGACAAGTCCCAGCTGGTTGGCAAACTGTCTTCCCAATAAAAAAGACATCCAAACAAAACCAAGGAGAGAAAATCAAATTTGGAAAGGAATATGACAAATCAAATTGGTTAGAGTATATTTATACTCCAAGACACTACAAATTAGTAGATAGAAAGAGAAAATAATGGAACCACCTGAATAATTTTTGTTACAGATGAAATCATACAATTTATTTCTAAGACAGAAAGGATTTTTTACATTATTAATGGAAAATAGGTATTTGAAAAATAAATTCTGAGTCTGATCACCATCTTCTTTCCCTATGTGATGGGGTGGTAAAAAAACTTTAAATTCTGGAAAAATATCTC